CTATAATTATTTCAAATAAACTGTTATTAAATTTACTCATTATTTTATGGACAAAATAAGGGAAGAGTCGCATCATATCTCAGCTTCGACTATAGAGTTCAATCACCTATTTTCTTTTAATAATAAAATAATAGAATACTACGGAACTTGAAACGTAAATTAATTTTCTTTTGGCCATGCCGTGCACATGGGAAAGGCAATTTTTCTACTAAGTTTTAAAATAAATCTTTGATCATACCAGATTATTATCGGATTAATCCATCATTGAATAATTGGAATTGATTATATATAATTTGTCTAGTTGAATGACTGTTCCTTTCATGTATGCAACTTAAATCTGTATATTGCTATAAAAATCTATAAATATATATTCTATATAATGTTAATGAAATAATATGAAATAGTAACTTTAACTTTGTAATTAAATATGTTGACTTATTTTATAATATAGTAAAAATTATTTTAATATTTAAGAAAAAAAATCAAATTATACCTACATGGTGTAAAACGTGCTATTCGGTTAATGACACGACTTTTTATATAAATAAAATCATATCAATGTTGAAAATTATTTCATGATAACTATGGCGATAAAAATTTGATTTTTCAATATATTAATTACGAATTACTACAAATTCTTATTCTTCTGGTAACAAAAATACAACATGTATTAAAAAAAATCTATTTAATAGATTTTGTTTTTAAAAAATAATATTTTAATATTCACGATAAAAATGCAAATATAATCACAAAACAAAAATTGAAAATCAATTATAAAATTTTTATTATGATACTTATCATAATGTTGCAAGAAAATCTTATTATCAACATTAATAACAAATTACAGCGATTTCTTATTTATTTGATAATCAACCATTACCAAAATATTTTTATCGTATCTTCGAAAATTAATTTAATCAAGATTATTTGTTTAGAATCTTTTGATTTATGAATAACTCAATCAATTCAGCTTTTCAAAAATTGTAAACGAATAACTCAACCAATTCAGCTTTTCAAAAATTGTAAACGCAATTTTCGTACTTTTAACGGTTTATCATTAGTAATAAATGAATATTTATCCTTAATAAAAAATAGTGCATTCTCCTATTTTGTTGGGCATCCAGCCATATGTAGACCAAAATATGCACACGAACATTGAAATTTATAAGTACAAAATAAATTTAAAACTCAATTGCAAAAATATTATTGATATGACTACCACAATCCCCCTCCCCCTATATATTAATTCAGAACGCGCTGAGCCTACGTGGCTATTTCTGGTGCTTCGGAATCATATGTGGAAAAATTACATGTTTCGTTGTTAAGCTTGG